GACTGAACTTTAAGTCTTCGAAGTGTTTCAAAGAGTTCACTGAAGTCCTTCTTAAGGATTTCTGACTGCTCTTTCCGGATATCATTCTTCCCCACATGGATGATGATTCGATTTGCAGTCTTGTGCTTCATTAGAATTTTCCCAAGTTCCTTGTTCAAATCAGAAACTGTTGCTTGAGGAAAGCAGCATGTTGTTGAATTTCTGCTACTGATGTTTCTGATAATGGAGTCGTCCACTATCAGTGTCCTGGGCTCGGCTGTGCTTTGAGCTGAAAGCCGCTGTCTGCTCGACCTTGAGCGCCTGTTAGTATCAATGTTAGCTGCTGGCTGATCCAATCCATGTTTAATCACATTTGGGGATTCCTCACCCGCATTCATTAATGCTTCAAATCTGTTCTCAAGATGTATAGGGGGTGGTAGAATACCAGTATTCACAAGCCTCGTCAATCGAATCTGGGGTAGAGGATGCTACGGCAGCGATACGAGAAACTCGTGACAATCTGATGTCTCTACTGCCTTTGGGTCTTGCTCCCTGTTTGTGCCATTGATTAGTGTGAAAGTCAGTTTCGGCTTGTTCCTCTACACTTGGTATAAACTGTTGAGATTCACTAGATTCACGGGACTTACCGGCTGTATGCTGAGGGGGTCCGTAACGATGGTCTGCTGAGTGTTCTGCCTGTTTTGGAAGTCCAGCAAGTAACTTTGTTTCAAGAACCGCAATCCTTTGTAGAAGTTTGCAGCAGTTCATGCAGCAAGTAGATTGAACAGGAGGCATTTTCTTTCTCTTCTGTTTGAATGTGGGCAGCTGTGTTTTCCCTTCTCCGGAATGTAAGCTGCTGGCAGTGGGAGGCAAAGTCTTCTTTTTCGTGGTATTATTCCAGTCCCAAAGAGTTTTTAGTTTTAGTGTTTGTGCCAAAAATGTGTTGTTTGAGTACTGTGCTGATCTGCTGAAGTATAAATCTTAGAAAAATATGAGAAAAGTACAGAAATAGGGAGCAAAGCTCAGAGCAGTAAGCAAGAACGTCCGAAAGCTAGTTATTGTTGACCAAGTTGGTTTGAGTGTCTAACAGAAATACATTTTTTTTAGTTTCCTTGTGGCCACAGCCACTTTGAACATTTTATTGCGCTGGTAAGTCGAAAGAGTTAAACTTTTTAAAGGGGTCATCGGATGCTAAATTCACTTTTACATGTTGTTTGAACATAAATGTGTGTTGGCAGTGTGTGTACACATCTACCCTACAATGATAAAAATCCACCCAGTGGTATTTATTTAATCCCTAAAAATAGTATCCCCTTTTTCAAATCAGGCCATTCTCAGCTTCTTGGCTGTGTGACGCCACACGGATGAAGGCCCCTCCCACGATAGTTGATTGACACTGGCATTTTACCTTAGACCCACCCTGAGTGAGCTGTAACAGTCCGACCGCCATTGTTTCGACGCTGGAGCAGGGGCATAGACAAGAATGGCTCCTAAGCGATTGAGGTGTTCTGTTGTTGGTTGTAATAATGAACATGGCAGTCATCATTGACTCCCGACATCTGAGCCGCTGAAGACGCAGTGGATTACGTTTGTTTGTGAAGGGAACGCACCTCCCAATCTACCTAAATGAGTCTATGTTCACACGAACCATTCGTGATCCAGCTTCACCTACAGAAGCAACGAGTATAAGGGGTTTTTAATTAATATTTGCAATCGCCTTTCCTAATAGCAAGTTTCGTGGCTAAAGTAAACTCATAGCACGGCTCATCACCTCACAGAGGAGAGGGGCGGGGTGAGCAGAGCTCATTAGCATTTAAAGCAACATGCGACAAAACGGGTTGATGTCTGCAGAGCTGTTTTTGACAAGGTAAAAAGGGTGTTTTACACTACCATTGAGACATTTTAACCAAAATATGGTATAGACTTTTCATTAAGGCCCTAAATAATTATATCAAATGGGCATCCGATGACCCCTTTAAATAATTATTGACATTCAGTCTCGTTGGGTTGGGTTGTTTTGATTAAGTATTAATAACAGGTAACTTACAAAATTAAAGTTCATTAAAAGTATGTTTTTTCATGTATTAAACGTTTGTTTTATAGCAAAAGCAAATAACTCCACAGTGTTTTTTTTTTTTTTAGCAGAAGCAGATAATTCCACATTTCATGTTTCAGAGTTAAACAAAAACACTTGTTTAATCTTTGCAATCTCCTCCGCTGACAATGTAGATGCCTGACAAATGTTGTTGTTGTGATTATATGCAATACACGGAGCTTTTCCCTCACCATTGTAACGTGCTGCTTTTACAAGTTTCCGTGAAAAGTTTCAGCTTTTATTTTCTTATTAAGCCCCAAAGATGATATCGCGGGTTCGTCAAGTTCATCAAAATGATCCATCCTTGATCACTTTTAGTCAGCTTTGATGAAACTCCTCTCAGCTAGCACATCTTTTTGAAATGACTAGCAGCCTTGTCACCTGACCTGAATACAGCGCACTGATTCACTAAAAAGGACTTGTCAGCTTCTGTTCACAAACAAAGGCACTTGTCGGCTTCTGCAGTAAAACGTAAACTTTGCCTTGAAAGTGGACAAAACCGGCTTTTTTGACAAAATGTGTTTAGGGTTCAGATTGCGCTACAGTATATGTGGAGAATAACACACGGCAGTCAGTTAATTTATTTTTTTTTAAAGATTGCGCTTATCGTTTTTTTGCAAATGAAATCTTCATATGACTTCCTTCTTTCAGACAAATACAATCAGAGTTATATTTAAAAATTGTCCTGGCAGTGAATGGAGGCCGAGATTTTAAAGCAAAAGAAAGTGCATAAATCCATCATAAAAATACTCCACATGGCTCCAGGGATTAATAAAGGCCTTCTGAAGTGAAGCAATGCCTTTAAGAAAAATATCCATATTTAAAACTTTATAAACCTTAATCTCTAGCTTCCGCTAACTGTCATACGCACGCCATGATAGAATGGCACTCCAGTGGAAGATGCAGGACGTAGGACGTGATGCAGAACATTTGTTTTGCTCTCTCTCCTCTGTGCTTACGCATTCGTCACTTCTCACCGGAGCTAACGCTACGCCTACGTCCTACGTCATCCGCTGAAACGCCACTCTCTCATGAACGCAAAAAGTTACCGAAAGCTAGAGATTTTGGTTTACAAAGATTTAAATATGGATGTTATTCTTATACAAATGCATAAATTCACTTCAGAAGGCCTTTATTAACCCCCAGAGCCATCCCCTGGATGGATGGACTTTATTGAACTTCAAAATCTCAACATCCATTCACTGTTATTATAAAGCTTGGAAGAGCCAGGACATTTTTTTATATAACGCTGATTGGATTCGTCTGAAAGAAGAAAATCATATACACCTAGGATGGCTTGAGGGTGAGTAAATCATGGGGTAATTTTCATTTTTGGGTGAACTAACCGTATAATATTTAAAACAAAATAAGGATTCCTCTGATTCGCAGGATTTCTGTAGGATCATGTGACACTGAAGACTGGAGTAATGATGCTGAAAATTCAGCTTTGCATCAGAAGAATATTAAGTTTTTAGATATGGTTATTTTACATTGCAACAAAATTTCCATAATATTACTGCTTTTACTGTATTTCTGATTAAAAATGGCTTTGGTGAGCAAAAGATACAAAGAAGAGACAAATAAAAATTTTTTTATAGAATCTCTGCCACCCACCCACCCTTTTACACTTTTATATTGTACAAACTGTATTTTCTATCCCCTTACCCTAAACACAAAAACATTTTTTTAAAGACTTTATTCTGTATGATTTATAATTTTGTCCCTATAACGTAGTGGATACCTGAACCACACGCACACACACACACACACACACACACACACACACACACACACACACACACACACACACACACACACACACCCACACACACAGAAGTAT